GTGTGAGAATTTATAGTACTGAGGAGCGAAGACTCCATACCACTTGTTTAGAGACCGCAAAGAAAGCCATGGAGAGTTTTGGCTTGTTTGAATGACGTTCGTTAGCTTTTGAGGACATTGAAAGATCCCTTTCAATGTTTCCATATGTTTGTAGTTTGTGTATGAGGTGTCCGAGAACACCCGAAGATGTTTAGACTATGCTCTTAGTTGTTTCCAACTGTTTTTAGAACCTTTGTGAAGCGTAGAACTGTTTTGAGTATGGTTTTGCATGTCCACAAATGTCCCGAGAACATTTGTGAACCTTGGAGAACGTTCGTCACTTTGGCTCAAGTGTGCGGCGAAAAGTGTGCGTGTCTTTTGCCTGCTTTTTCTTTCGTTTTCGACTCGGGTCGTTGAGACACTTGACTGACTAGGTGTTTTGAGCACGAGAGCTTTTGATTTTCCGTCAGGAGTTTGTGTGTCAAACTTTCACGGGGGAGTTCAGAGAATCTTCCCGGGTGGCATTTCACCGACAACATCGGTGTGCATGCAGCACAGCACTTTGCCATCCAGCAATTCCCTTTGAGGACTGTGGTGGCAGAATTCACAGATGCCAAGGGCGTACCGGTCTGGCGAATCCTTGAAAAGCGAGCAGATCTTCGTGATTTGAACAATCACCAGAAGCGGTTGACCTTGAGACTGCCATCCCTTTAGCCAGAACAGCCCTCCAGCCAGCATAACTAAAATTTCAAGCGCGTGAACGCAAGGCTGTGGAGTTTTCCAAAAACAGGGGTTTTTGGCAGGAAGAAGTGCTCTACACTCTTACAGACTGGGCAAATTCGCAGAAAGTGTTTAGGGTGCCGCAAAAGCACCTGAACACTTTTTGCATGATTGGAGGGTGGTTATATTTGCGGAATCTAGGGGGGTTGCGACCGTCGTGGAAGCTCTCCTGCCTAGAAACTCTTTTACCACAGCTCAAGCGCTCACAAGCATGAAACGGCAGCTGCGGATCAAGCATGCCAAGCGAACATGCCGAAACCAAAGGGGATCAAATCTGTAAATCATTCCTTCATGTTCTTTGTTGGCTTCGGCTCCGCTGACTGGAAAAAGGAAACTAGTCGGTAATTCCTCTCCTTCCAGGGTCTTTTTCCTGACGTTCTGTGGCCTAGCTGAATGAATCAATCCTTAAGACTGGTGAGAAGACAGTCGCTGAATGGGGGTGCTGGAGGACGTGGCCTGACAATGTCTGGTGGCCGCGTCCGGTTGCAGGCTGCAACCCACACATGTGTCCAGACAAACTCTTGCAGGATGCTTTCGCTCTTCCCGTGTGTGTGTGTGTGTGAGTGTGAGTGTCGAAGTGTGAGTGTGGAAGTGTCAGTGTTCAAAGGATTTTCCGGAAGAACCCTTCGCAATGCTTTCAGGAAAAATTGTGGAAAAAAATGGCGCCACTGAAACTTCAAGGCTCACTGAAAAGGCTGGCAAATATTTCGTTCAAGTGGGCATTGGGAAGACGCTAGAAAAGAAAGACAGAGAGAGGGAGAGAGAGAGAGAGAAAGAGAGAGAGAGAGAGAGAGAGAGAGAGAGAGACAAGAAAAAAAAGAAGAGAAAAATGACTCTTAGTTTGACTAATTAGGTTGGACAGATTTGAACCTTCTAGTTGTTCTAGTTGAAGCAAAGGCGCACGTCCAAGATTGCTCGTGCGACGTGGAACGCCCACACAGCAGTGACGGATGCGCCAGCAGTTCTGGATGCGCAGTCCCAGTTCTTGGCAGTATTTGAGTGGTTCGAACCCATCGGCGCCCCGGGGTACCACTTCCGTCTCCCGGCTTCGGAAGTGCGAAGTATGCCAGTGTCAAAGTATGCGAGTGTAAGTATGCAAGCATGATATGCAAGCGTGAGTATGCAAGCATGCAATGACTATGCAAGCATGCAATGAGTAGGCAAGTGTGAGTATGGAAAACTAGCACGGGAGATGTCCCAATGAAAAAACATTTTCCCACTTTATAAATTCTCTCTTAAAGGCCGAGGGCGGGACGAACAGCGTCAACCGAAAGTGCAACCCTCTGCGGAGATCGTGCGTGTCGAGTGCGCGAAATGCACGCGAAATGCAGGTGAGAGTGCGATTTGTCCGGTGCGCGCGCAACCCTCTGCGGAGATCGTGCGTGTCGAGTGCGCGAAATGCAGGCACTGGCGACTTTCTATAGTGCTACTTCAGTACGCGGAGCAATCTGTGAGCTGGAAGCTGAGAACTGGCGACTTTGCAGTACAACTTGAGCACGCGGAGTCTCTGGGGAGCTGGAAGATGAGAACTGGCGACTTTGTAGTGCAACTTTAGTGCGCGGAGTAATCTGTGGAGCTGGAAGCTGAGAACTGGCGACTTTGTAGTACAACTTTAGTACGCGGAGTATCTGGGGAGCTGGAAGATGAGAACTGGCGACTTTGTAGTACAACTTCAGTACGCGGAGTATCTGGGGAGCTGGAAGATGAGAAGTGGCGACTTTGTAGTACAACTTCAGTACGCGGAGTATCTGGGAAGCTGGAAGATGAGAACTGGCGACTTTGTAGTACAACTTTAGTACGCGAAGCAATCTGTGGAGCTGGAAGCTGAGAACTGGCGACTTTGTAGTACA